TTCCAAAACAACACTATGAACTGCCCATTTTATAGAACAGAACATGAACATTAGTTAGGGCATCTGCCCAAAGTAACCTATCAGTGAGTGAATACCAGAGTTGGGATTCCCACTTAGATTATCAGGTTCTATGTGAAACCATGACAGTGTTGATTTCAATCTTCTTGGGATCAAAGGTGGTAGCTTAACAACTTCAAGCAGATTCAAATACCTTTTTCTGAACCTGGATATGTGGGAGGAAATTAGTCCTACACTGTACTCTCAATATGAAATATAAATTTATATAAGCATAAATTTCCCAATATGAAATATAAATATAAATTTTAAGCTATTTAATGAGTTATTCCTGGTTATTATGTTTAGCTTTTACAAAGCAGATGCAAGTAAATACCAACTATTTCTAATACTACTGAAGTCTAATGGTACCTCAATCATTATCCATAAAATAGATAAAAATAGATATAATCCAGTTTACAGATGAGTAAAGATGAGTCATTTGCAGGGAAGAGGCAGAAGTAGGATTCAAATTCAAGCCAGTCTGTTTTTGTAATATGTTTCACAAATGCCATCTAATAAAGTCCTTCTTCGCTTAGTACCAATGCATAAACACTCAGGATTTTCCTTACAAGGAGAAACCCTGCTAAAACTTTTTTCCCCCCTCCAGGACTTTTTAAGTATCAAAAAGCCGAGGAAATGTTGGTACTTTAAAATAAATCTTGACCCAGTAAGAACTGGCACTGGGCCTTTTATTTTCTTATACTCAGCAAAATACAAACCTATAAAAATTCAAATAGTAGTGAGTCACTTCCAAACACGGACCTTATACTGAAAACTTTTTTTTAAACCTGGATATATGGGAAGAAAACATATTTAAAACCTATAACTCCAACATAATGGGAGGAAAAAGCAAGCCTATGAGGAATTTTACTAATTGTTTTTCTGGAAATCGTGTGCCCTAGGGGAAAATCAATAACTATTATTACTATTGACTCTGATATACCACCTTACCTTAAAGTGGAAAGTCAGAAACTGTCAATCCTACTCTGGACTGGTCTAGATCTTTGCAAAAATGAAATAAAGGCCAGTTTAATCACATTATGACATTTGCAATAAAACAAATGGATATGGGGAGGGAAATGTGATGAAAGCAGAGAACTGGGTCAAGTAGATAGCAGTCTTAACTGGTTCAATGATTTTACTATTAGGGATAATTGCTATGCATAGGTTCTAAGGCATTTAAAAGAGGGCCCCTGTGGATTTCCAGAGGCAGTCCTGATCAACTTATCCATGGACAAAGAAAGGATGACTCAGTAGTTGCCCCTTATCCAAAGCTTTACTTTGCACTCATTGAGTTTGTCTGAGATCAACTATGATCCAAACATATTAAATGGAAAAACCCAAAAATAATGTGCAAGTTTTTGCATTACGTGTCATTGTGAGTGGTAATGAAATCTCATGCCACATCCATGAAGAGAACTACCTCTTTGTCCACAATATCCATTCTGCTCCTCATTACTTCCCATTAGTTACTTAGTAGCTCTTCTATCACAGTACAGGTGTTCAGGTAACACTTATTTTACTTAATAGGAGCACAAAGCATAAGAATAGTGAAACTCTCCATTTGCATATACCAAAAAGACAAACTTTTAAATAAAAAAAGTAAAAGTTCCCTACTTCATAAATTGCTAAGATGTACATAAGAACAATTGATCCATGAAATTGTTAAGAAGAAAAAATTAATCTGTGTTACTTTTGTTGCCATATTTCAAGCTAGAGTTAAGAAATACACATAACCTAGCATATGCTCAGGAATAAGCACAGTACATATGAAGATCATCAGTACTATTGTTTTAAGGATCCACTGAAAGTCTCAGAATGTACCTTTTGTGGACTAAGAAAGATAAACTCTTTTCATTTTATACAGTGGTATATAAACAAAAGCCAACTGGATCACACTCTTAAGCCTATCTATTCAGGAGACTGAAATATAAAGGATCATGACTTAAGACCAGCCTGAGCAAAAAAAAAAAATGTCAGAACTTACTCAATTAACAAATTGGGTATGGTGTTACTTGTTTGTTATCCCAGCTACCTGGGAAGTATAATAGGAAGATAAAGCTCCAAGCAAACCTAGGCATATAAGCAACTGACAAGCAGAGGAAAATAATGCTTCTTTGCCAGTAGTGAGCATGCTTTAACACAGTTTTTCAAATGTTTATTACCATAAAAAACTGCTTCCATCAAATCACAGAAATGCCTACTGACAAGTGATTCAGAAAATGTGTAAAAGTGGTTTGTGTTATTTTATATGAATAGATACCATGAATATTCAGTATATAAGTATATATTTAAACAATTGGTCTAGTCGCTGCAACATAAACAATATTATTTTATTGTGTGCATTTATATACCCTTCCTTTATCTATTTCTATTCCAAGCTAGATGTCTACCAAAAAGGTGGTGGTATTGTTTTTTGTTTTGTTTTTTTTTGTCAGTTGTGGGACTTGAACTCTGGACCTGAGCGTTGTCCCTGAGTTCTTCAGCTCAAGGTGAGTGCTCTACCACCTGAGCCCCAGTTTTCTCATGGTTAACTGGAGGGAAGAGTCTCACAAGCTTTCCTGCCTGGGCTGGCGTTGAATCGTGATCCTCAGATCTCATCCTCCTGAGTAACAAGGATTACAGGTGTGAGCCACCAGTGCCAGGCTCAAAAGGTTTTTTAAAAGAAAAAAATGCAAGTCAGCAGAGCTATAAAGGTAGAGAGAGACACTAAGAAGGAAGCCAGGGTGCTCTGGTCTGAATATAAAGTATTCCTGAAAAGGGCTCCTCTGTGAGAGGCTTGGTCACAGTTATTAGGATGAGGGTATAACCTGTATCAATGGATTGCTCCACTGATGAGTTCCTAGGTGAATGGCTACTGGGAGCAAGGCCTGCTGGAGGATGTACGTCACTGGGGCTGTAGCGCTGAGGGTTGCATCGTTCTCTCCTTGTCTTTCTCTGTTACCTGGCCATCATGAGGTGAGTGGTTTCGCAAAAGCATATACTACTGCTACCATGATCTACTACTGCTTCTTCGTGGGCACAGACACAATGCAGCTGGCGAGTAAATAGACTGAAACCTATAAAACTGTGAGCTAAAAGAAATATTTCCTCCTGGCTAGTGGCACAGGAGCCAACTACTTTGGAGGTAGAGATGGGGGAGAATTGTAGTTTGAGGCCAGCCAGAAGAAAAAAACCCTCTCTCAACCAACAATCTGGGCAAAGAGTTTCAGAACTGTAATCTCAGTTTCTCGGGAGACAGGTAGAAGGATCATAAATGAGACCAGGCTATAGGCAAAAGTGAGATCCTACCTGAAAAATAGAATCTTACCTGAAAAATAGCAAAAGGGGCTGGGAGTATGACTCAAGAAGAGCAACTGTCTAGCAAGTGTGAGGCCCTGAGTTCAAACCCCACTACCAAAGGGAAATCTGCTGAAGTTGTTTTGTTACAGCAATGAACATGTATCTAGTGCACTTGGATACATATCAGTAGGAGTTTGTTTACCACAGACTTTATCCAAATCATCTTTGGGGTATGCTACAGTGAGTGTTTGTATCCCTCAGATTCATATACTGAAGCCTATTTATAGATGGTAGTGCACAGGAGTGGGTATTTAAGAAGTGATTAAGTCTTGAATGCATTGACATCATGAGAAGGAATTAATACCTTTACAAAAGAGGCTCAGGCACTTCCTACCCGTTTCTGCTCTGTGAAGTTACAGCAAGAAGATGGCCAACTATGAAGATGAGGGGCCTTCAGCAGACAAGGAGTCTGCTGGACTTCCAGCCTTCACAACTAAGAAATAAACTTGTTCTTTAAAAGCTACCCAATCTGCAGGGCGCCGGTGGCTCATGCCTATAATCCTAGCTACTCAGGAGGCTGAGATCTGAGGATCATGGTTCAAAGCCAGCCTGGGCAGGAAAGTCCATGAGACTCTTATCTCCAATAAACCACTAAAAAACTGGAAGTGGTGCTGTGGCTCAAGCGGTCTCGCCTTGAGCTGAAGAGCGCAGGGACAGGGCCCAGGCCCAGAGTTCAAGCCCCACAACCGACAAAAACAGAAATAACAACAACAAAAAAAGTACCCAATCTATGCCATTTTGTTATAGCTACCCACGTAAAATAAGGTACCAAAACAAAAACAAAAAAGAAAAAGCAGGTAAGTTTCTCAACTAATGATCTTTAACAGCCTTTCTTCCCATCAACATGTCACATATAACTAGGTCTACAAGCAGATCAATTACAAATCTACCTCAATGAAACAAAGGTGGAAATGCTATGAAGGAACTTAGCTGATGGAAGGAAGCTCAGAGGAAGAGCCAGGTGGCCTGGTGAAAAAAGGCTATGGGCCTTGCCAACAGGCTGACAGAAATACAGATGGCAGCTGATCCCTACATTGGAGGGGAGAGCTGTCACGGACAGGGGTGACTGAGATGCCTGCCTAAGCGTTCAGTAGATGTCACACTGTCTTACATAAACAGGAACTTTAAATATCTCATTTTCTAATCAAGGTATTCTTTAAATGAATGCTATACTTTCTAGTAGCAACCACTATACTTATACCTGACTTATACTGCTATACTCTAATAGCTACAACTTTTTAGTAAAGTAAATCTTTCAGATGATTAAAATGGATAGAATTAGTTTAATATAAATAAGAATTTGGGGCTGGGAAGGTAGCTCAGTGATAGAGCGCTTGCCTTGCATGCATGAGGCCCTGGGTTCGATTCCTAAGCACCACATAAGCAAAAAGCAAAAAAGCCGGAAGTGGCACTGTGGCTCAAGTGGTAGAGCGCTAGCTTTAAGCTGAAGAGCTGAGGGACAGCGCCCAGACCCAGAGTTCAGGCCCCACGAACAGACCCAAAAATAAATAAATAAATAAATAAGAATTTTTACTTTCCTATCATTGGAAAAACTTCATTTTGTGAGGGGAAATATAGAAAAGTAAGATAAAATACAATACCTTCTGTTTCTCCCAATGTAAAAATTATGCGCCCTGCAAAGAGTCCTGAAAGGTTTCAATCCAAACACTTCCTGAAAATTAAAAGAAATATGTGTTACTCTACGTGCATCTCAATACTCTAAGTTACTCTCAGTGCATTTCAGTAGTGTTTTAAAATGGGAATTTCACTGCTGACTAAAACACATCATCTCAAAAACTAGATAAAACGATGTTAAAACTGTAATTTCTCATACATGCTCCCCTAGAGTAGAACTGCCAATCACAGTTTACACTACAAAATTATTTACAAAACTTAAAAAAAGAAACTATTTACAAAAAAATGACACTATTTATCTGACTTTGCGCTAGCATACAAGTGTCATCTATTCTCAGGGATGTGAGAAGTTTAGTGCCAAGATAAAAAGGAATTTAGTTCGTGGATTTTTGGAGGACAATATTAGAATTATCTTACAACCATCATCGTAAAGACCCCATTCTTCTCCAGGATCAGAAAGAATGAAAAATATTAACCAATCTTATGACAGACAAACACACATGAACAAGTTTATATTTTCAGGCAAAAAAAAAAGAATGGATTAAAGTTTTTGTTTGTTTTTGGATCAGGTTGTGGGGCCTGAACTCTGGGCCTGGGCGCTGTCCCTCAGCTCTTCAGCTCAAGGCTAGCTCTCTCCCACTTGAGCCACAGCGCCACTTCCGGCTTTTTTCATTTTTGCTTATGTGGTGCTGAGGAATTGAACCAAGGGCCTCAGGCATGCAAGGCAAGCGCTCTACCACTGAGCCACCTGGATGAAAGTTTTTGGCCTTCAAGAGACAGAGACTTTTTTGTATCGTGATGACAATAGTGGAAACTTTTAAGTTGGTCAACATGCCAATGAGCAGTGAAGCTAGCAGGTATTAAGGAAGATAGGAAACCGACTCTCTGGTTCCATTACAGCAGGGTACCATGTGGAGCCGCCATTTACATCTGACTGACACAGCTAGCCTCCTCCATTTCTAGCCTATGCTCAATTCCCAAGAACACAGCTTTGACTAAAATTGAAACCATCTACATGAAATCTAGCCTTCCCAAACTAACTAGCTACTGTTCCCTATTACTTCATTTCATTCTCCTTGAAGCATATATAGAGACACCAAATTTCTTAGTGGGATGTTACCCCGAGCCAAGTATCAACCACTATTTTCTCAAGGTTGCTTTTCCTTATTGTTTTCCTCACTGTAGCTGATAAATTAATCACAAATCTTAAATAATACTAATACTTTGAAAGGAAAGGAAGTAGCTGTATGGGCCAACTACAACGAAAAGCACTTGTCTTTCTGCTGATTACTATATATTTCCACAGACATTCACTCAATTCTTCAATTCACTCCGTTTTTATGAGTAAAACTTCTAGTGCCTATGTTGATACAGTCCCAGCCCCCGACACTTGGTCAAATTATGCCATAGGTTCTCCATTTGCCCAGGTGATTTAAGGTTCTCAATTCCTGCTATTTAAAGTCCTGCAACATCTTGCACGGTAAAAGTACATGTATCAGCCACACCAAAACTACCAGAAGTAGCAAGCAATATTACCTACATGTATACATCAACTATAGCTAGAATTATACCTAAGTGGAAATGTCTTCAATATCTTAGAAACAGACAGCATCTCTTTAAAACAGCTTATAATCAGGGAGGAAAAACAAAACAGAAAAACCCTGAAAAAATTCTCCATGTGATAGGAGAAAGAAAGAAAAAAGGGAGGGGGAGGAATTAGGAGGGAGAGAGAAAGATAGTGTGTATTACCATTTTCTATTAGGACACCTCTTTTTCAGCAGCTAAATAAAAACATTACCAAATCATTTAGTGTAATAAAATTTAACCTTATATTGACCTTCCTCATAAAGCAAACAGACTCTATCCAATAAGGTTTCATCTGAACTATGTAAGATGATAAGCAATACCTTAATTGCCTTCATTTACATGACTTTGAAACTATTCTGGGCTGAAGTCATTGACTGCAAGGTCACAGAATACAAAAAAGCAGAATATATACAATTTACTGAGGAAGAGCAATCCTTTTCAAACAGTGTAGAAGCACCTTCTCTATATCTCATTAGGAATTACTAGCTGCTTAATGCAATCAACAAGTGTTGCCATCTCTTCTTGAAATAAATCACACACACATACATATACATGCATTGATTTTAAGTGCATATAATGTATTAAGAATATATATTTGAAAAAATGCACCACATATTATAGCTTTCTTATTAAAATTAATCTACCTAGAAACCAAAAATAACTCTGTACCCTACCAGCATGTAAAATTAAGACACAAATAGGACTATTCTTTTTTTCCTTTTTTTTTTTTTGGTAAGCATTTCATAAATCTAAAATCCAAGGCACAAAACAACAGTTTTAGGAAAATATTTGCAAACCAAGGATGTTAAGTATATTCAGAGTTGCTGATTTCATTATTTAAAACTTAATTCAGGTAATTTGTTCAGAGGTATATGCTGTATGTATTTCATACCAAATAATATTGAAGAAAACAAAATACAACAGACTGACAAAAATCAACTATCATCACTTATAGGGGACAATGTGTATTCTTCAAAAATAAATTTGAATATATCAAAAACAGTTAACTCTATTGAAAGGGTTACCTTTAATAAAATTCAAGCTAGATATCATTGGTATTTGAATTTACTAGAAAAGGGCACTAAAAGTATTTTTACAATGTTTACAATATTAGCACAATAAATAAAGGTATTTTTACAATGTTTACAATATTAACACAAATGTGGAGTCTCAAGTGGTAGTAATAGGTTTAAACATAATATCACCAGAACATTAATTTAAGAGGCTTCTGTTATCAAATGAGGTAAATCTCTCATATTTAATTTGCAACCCAAGCACTTTTATATAACTGAAGCCAATTTATTTAATTTAAAAATGACTTAGGGAAAGAGATGCAATGATATTAGAAACTTTATATTGCTGTACATTCTCTCCCTACAGAGAAGCACAAGGCTGTTCCATGAAACTATGAAACAATCCATCCAAATCACTGCAGCTTATCGTTCTGTACAAAGAACACAGGATGAATGCATGTTTATTTCAATATTCTTAAACTCTGATACCATGGTGTCACTTTGTCCTTTTAAAAAAGGAAATTATATCTCTCAACTTCTATCTATGAATTGAGCCACTCCACTCGGGATGGATGAGCTAAATTTTAAAATAAATGCATACATAGTTAACAAAATATTAACTACACGTAATATTAATATTAATAAAATATCAACTATTATTTATACGCAACTTGACCACATCTTTAGGTGTTTTGGTTTTCTTTCTGTAAGAAGCAACTCAAGATCAGATGAGCAACTTCATAACTATGCAAAAAGAAATTGCTAGTTCCCACTTCTTTGATAAGAGTATGTGAGGTCAGTCAGAAGCTGGGAACCATGTTAACCATGTTCTGTTCCTGTTTACTTATTTTTTTAATGAAATCTCAGATTGAAGATAATTCTCTGATACAGTATTTTGTTTCTCTCCAGAACTTCTTTCTCTGCTCACCCCAAAAGACTGATTTACTTTATGCTCTTAACAGATTGGATAGGAGGACAATATCTGAAATTCTACCCCATAAAACTTGCCTTGTGCAAAAGCCTATCTTTATAACCACAACTTAACCTCTGTATATCTTTAAATGAGCTACAATTTTGAATTGGAAATGGATTATATGAATGCCGTCACTCTCATAGTTTCCATGAAGAAAAAAGTTAAATTCGAGTTTTGGTTAAGATGCAATCCAATCTTGGGTGAATACAGCAAAACCCAGAAAAAAAAGTGCATATATTTATGCTTACATTGATAACAGTTTCACGTTCTCTAAATTATGATGTAGTGACAATTGAATGACCTTTATCACTGTCTCTTGGGGGCTAGCTCTTCTTTTTAGTATGCGACCATTTTAATTGCCACATGGTCATTTTCAAGAGGGCGAAGAGTTGGATCTCAAAACAATTTCCATTTAAGGTTCTTTTATACAGAAACTGCCATCATGACTGATACTTAAAATATCTGCTGTGTTGCAAGACTCATTAGCCAACTCTTAAGAGACAATGAAGGAGGCTGGTGCCTGTGGCTCATGCTTATAATCTTAGCCACTCAGGAGGCTGAGATGTGAAGACTGTAGTCTAAAATCAGCTGGGAAAGGAAAGTCTGTGAGACTCTTATCTGAAATTAGCAAAAATGCCTGACTGGAGGTATGGTTCAAGTAGTAGAGCACGAGTCATGAAGGAAAAAAAATAACGGAAAGCACAAGATTCTGAGTTCAAGTTCCCATACTCATTCACACACACACACACACACACACACACACACACAAAGGTATAACTCCTAAAGGTTACACTGCTCTGGCTTGCTTTTCTAACAAGCCTTACAATCTAAGCTTTTCACTAGCTCTTCTGCCCACTGCACTGATCAATGCTGCCATTCTCTCCTTTTGCCTGTATAGCATGCCATATCTCCAATGACCCATGAGTCTAATCAGCACCATTTTCGGGAGCTTCTCTTGTTTCTCCTCTGTGATTGCACCTGACTAACCACATAAAAGAATACAGAACTCTGTGTGTGTGTGTGTGTGTGTGTGTGTGTGTGTGTGTGTGTATACATGCACTGATGCATGTGCATACCTATCTTCATTTCCTGTTTTCTTTCCCTTTCACCAGGGTGTCAAAATAAACAAAGTGATCACTTTAATATATACATATATAAAGATATATATATATATATAAAAAGATATAAAAAATATAGGATCCAACTGCTTGAAGGTAACTTTAAAAAAAAAACTAGCAATTCTGTATGCAAAGTTAAATCCCGAATTGCCACTGCTGCTCAACTAACACAAAAGAACAATGTGACTTTGCACTGTAATGGACAGGTCAAAAACACTTCATAAAACTTGAAACACCTGTTATGGAATATGTTAATGCATAATTTAATCGAGGAAATATTTCTCTTCCTCCCTCACCTGTTCCCCCACCCATCCTGCATTCAACTCCATAAACTGCAGTTATCCCC